ATGCACTCTGCATGCGGTTGTTGGAAAGCTATGGTAGGACCACCTCTTTTTGTACTTCCATGTCTTTGAAAAACAAGAGATCCCAGACAGGTTATTTCCTGGTTCCACCTGAAAATCGTCTTTTACCACCACTCTGCATCTCTCAGCCTTTAGAGACAAGTCATTCTCTCAATACCCATCCTGCATGTGTCATTTAATCTCCTTTACCAAATCCTAGCTGAAAACTTTCCTGAAGGTGGACCAACAGGATGTGGGTACCAGACACTCGTTGTTCACGTGCACGTTTCAAACACACATCCTGCAATAAGCACTGAAACCCACGTCTCCAGTTTCATCAAGCAGGATTTTAAACAATTTGCTCTCGAGACCTGGGGCGACTGATGAAAACCAAACATGTACTAAGTCAGCTAAAAGACAGCATGCAGCACACAAAGAGGTCTTTCCCCTGAAGTCAGGCGAGACTCTGGAAACGGAGATTTGCCCACAAAACCACTGGCTCAGGACCCTTGGCAAAGAGGCCAGCTTTTACCTGTTCTGGAGAAGCTCTGCAGGACCTCTGCTGTTTGCTTGCTGATTGCTGATGCTCCTCCAAGGCCACAGCCTCATCAGGTTCATTATCAGGACCTCTGTCAGCTTCTAAAGGAAACGTCGCACCTCGTTCCTCCTCTTTTCTAGCAGATCCTGCACCACAGCTGTCCAAGTGCAGTGGGATGGCAGAGTCTTTGCATTCCCCATCATCCACGACCTGGGCAGATGCTCCTCTGGAGGAATGCAGGCTCACTTGCGAGGGAGGTACAGAAGGTGTCCTGGGGAAGACCTCACTGCCTATCGATGGTAAAACAGCTGGGGTCACACCCACCACAGGGAAAACAGATGAGGAAATCTGAGACTCAGGCTGAGTGGGAGCACCAGCTAAGACAGTCCCCGTGGGAGTAAACAGCAATTCATGGGTGGAAAGGTCCTTCTTGGAAGCTGGGCTTTCTAAGTGGGGTAGCTTGGGCAATCCACTGTTGAAAGGTGACATCAAATTACTTTTGAGACCTTTCTCTTCTGGATTCATTTGTGCATCTTGTGTGTCCTCTGCAGCCACATCATCTCCAAACACACTAGGAACAAAAGCCTCCAAGTCATTCACAGGGAAAGATCCTAATTTCTCAAGTTTTAGTAGTCCAAACTCCTCATCCGGTAAGTGGAAGTCCCTGATGCCCAGCACGGGGACCAGCCACTGGAGACTGCGGAAGGAGAAGAGAGAGCTGCAAGTGTCGAGGTCCAGAGCAGGGGAGCCAAGAGAAGCAGGACCCTCTGAACCCGTTGGATAACTACGTCTTCTTGTGCTGCCATCTAGATAAAGAAAAACAGAAGAATACAAAGGAGAACATCACACCAAAACCAACCAGCAACGAGCCTTTTCAGAACCTCTCATCCAGAGTGTTGCTCTAATCTGTTTTCCTGGGGTGGGGAGCCATATCCATCTTAACACATGGAAGTGGCACTTTTCTGGAAAGACACTACACCCCACGACTGCTCTGCATCAGCTAAAACATCATTGCTAAAGACTGCTGGAATTGACTGAGCGCTTGGCCAGTTTGTTTTGTCTGGTTTTCTCCCAGTTTTTCACAATATCCACAGACCCTCAGACTGTAACGCTGTTCTCTTGTGTTTCACACTTGCACACTAAAAAAAACATGAAAATCATTAATATGTAAACTTAGCTGGAGAAACAGATTTACATCCATTTGCTGGAAAATCAGGTCTAGTGTGCACAACGCTCGCTCCAACAGCAACGGCAGCTTAAGCTCTCAGCCCTGCTCCTCAGCCATGTACTGCTGTGCACGCCACTCTGCTGAAGCAGAAGCTTCTGGAATTGCTCAAAGAACATGGGCACCGCAATGATCTAAATTTTTTAGATGTCTCTCTCATTTTAAAAAAATAATAGTGAACCCATATCAGATTTTCCTGAATACAAAAGCACGGCAGGGCACGAGCAGCAGTGCACGGACTCCCCGGGACGTTTCCCTGCCTTGCCCTGGGACCGCAGCTTCAGGGAGTGACCGCATTTGAGGAAGCACCTTTCGAGACTCGACTGGCTCTCGGTCTTGCAGAGGAACGCAGGGAGCGGCGCGGAGGGACATCAGTTGCTCGGAGCTGCTCAGCCCGGCAGGCTCCTTGCACGTGCCGATCCTTGACACGCTCCACGGGACGTTTATCAGTCTGACACACAGTGAAGTTGGCTTCCAGGTCTCCTACGTGGCTGGCAAAAGCTCCACTCCCTGGCTTCAGAGCATCACTGTTCTGAGGTGGATTCCGAGCCTGTTCTAACAGAGTCTTACGGCATTTGTCAAGGCTCCCTCCAGGAGGAGGATCAGCACTCGCTGGCTGTACAGCACCAGTCGCTTCTGCCTCTCCAGACCTGGGAGCTGCAGCAGCAGACAACCTCCTCTCATCTGAAGATGACTTTTCAAGATTAGCCTCACAGTTTTCCTTTTCACTCTGGTACTCATTTGACAGCAGACGACTGCTTCCCCCCCTTGTTATGAGATCCAAACTCTCTGTACGTTCCTGTGACACCTGATGCACTGGGCACTTGCTGGGAGACTTTCTTCTTCCCTTTTGCTTCTTCTGTGATCGCCTCTGATCTCGCTTTGTGCTAGTGATACTGTTCTGAGAAACCGATCCACATGAAGTGCTGCTGGAAGAGGTAGCAGGAAGAGATTTCTGAGGACTACTTGAATTTGTTGGATCATTTTCTGCACCAGAAAAAGGGAACGGCGTGACCACTGACTCCAGATCATTGTCAGTTCTTTCTTGGGAGGGCCGATCTGAATTTGCATCTTTCTGCTTACACTTACTTCGCTGACCCTTCTTGCTTCTGCCCAGCTGGCTCAGGATTACAGCATCGAGGTCCACTTTCCTCTGGCAATTGGACATGCGTCGAGTTGTCCTGACGTAGTACTCAACTGGGAAGAGCAGCCCTTCCACCACCGTGCAAGAGTTCAGGGCGCTCTCCGGAGCGGCCACCTTTTCTGGATGAGAAAGTCCTGACTGAATTTCGAGATGTTGACTCTCCACCGGCTCTTCAACACTGCCCAGAGCAAGATCTGTTGGAGAGGGACTGAAGCTATTAGCGTCACTTCCATTTCCTTCACGGCTTTTGCTCTCGTCAGTCACAGTGTTGTTTCTGTCACCGGGCAACGCTTCGTTCTCTGACATGAAATCCAAGAGCCTACGCAACTCTCCCTGATCTTCACACACCCTCTCACTGTCCGTTGGTTTGATTATACTGGAAGATTCTTCTCCTCCATCACCACTGGCATCAAGCAAAGCAGAGTCACTGTTCTCCGAGCACAGCTGTGCAGGCTCACAGTTGCCCGACGTGGCCGCAGCACCCGAGGGCTCAGGCTGCCAGACATGGCCGCTGTCCCTCGGCGCACACGGGAACAGCTCGGGCACTCCCAGAGGGACACTGCCTTCCTGCGTGTCTTGTACAGCTTCCAGCGCTGCGGCGGGAGGAGCGAAACTGGTTTCTTCTCTCTGTGCAAGCGCTGGCCTGGGCGCTCTCTGAGCGTTCTCCTCAGCGCTGGAGAGGCTGCTTCGCCTGAAGACTGGTGACCGAAGTCGCTCCGAGCTGGCAATTTGATTCTTCACCACTTCACCAGCATTGATTAGCTGCACGTCACGCACTGATTCCCTTTTCTCCGACACCGGAGCCTTCATCTGCCTCCTCAGCTTCATCAAGCTTCTGGAGGTTTGGGGGTTTTTCTCCTCAGGGGTGAGCCTGGCAATTCCACAGCACAGCTTTTCCGGGCTCTTCTGTCTGCCTTCTGCCCGTGAGCTGTCCTGCAGGAAAACCCCATCCCTGGGGAGTGCGTGAGCCTGTTGAAACGTGACGGGTGTTTTCTTCTCCGTGTCCAGATCAGAGCAAGTTTTAGTCTGTACCTGGGAGGCGGTGCGTTCGTCAGCACTGGGAGACACGTTATCTCTAGAGCCTGTGGGAAAATGTCACATGGGTGAAGCGCTCCCAGCAAAACCTCAGCCAAGAAAAACATCACATGGTAAAGCTTTGCTTGGAGTGAAAGAGTGAGATCTTAATGGTGGGGCTGGGAGAACGCCGTGGGCCCGGTGGGGAGCGAAGGGGAGTGGATTTACTGCGGATCAGGGCTTGGCGGTGTGGGTACGGGGGGCAGCGGATGCGGCAGCTGCTGCGGAGGGGACAGGGGTGCTAGGATCTGTCCCCGGTGCAGCAGGACGGGTTGGGGATGCAGCTGGGCGATACTGGCGGGACTGGACCCCCCTCC